GGCTACGGAGGTATTCGAGTGGCTCCGCAAGTAGTATGGCAGCTTGCGGCTATTTTGCTTGCTCACATTGTTCACGCATTTAAAAAAACATGTACATGAAAATTATGAATGGGAGAAACATTTTAATTATTTAGCGTCCTATTGCGAGCATATTTTCTTTGAAAAACTAAAGAGCATGTTTGCGGCCGCACACCAACATCACAGACAACATGTTTCCTTGGAAAATGGGTGAGCTGTCTAACGAATGGTAAGAAAAGGAAAGCATTCTAGCGAGGCGAACAATAAATGTATTTTACCTATAATTTCCCGCAACTTTTCCAGTCTCATAATATATAAAGCAGTGTTCATTTCAGCAAGGCTGTCTCCAATTGCAGTTTCATACATTGGTACCCTCGTCTGTATATTGCCACGTTCCTTTCCTCAAGTTTTGTTATCATTCATTCATTCACTGTTTATTCAGACAAAAACAATGATTGCCTAGGTTGAAGGGACTAAAGGCAGATTACCTCTGCCTGACTAAGGTCCCTCCACCCATACATTTGCTCACTCCGTTACACTACGTTTGGCGCAAACCGCACCTGCGATGTTCGCGAAGCTTCGAGGCCGTAATAGATTGTTTTGTTAAGATAATGCCCACTTCGTGTACATTACAGATTATTCGAGAACTTACGTTGCCCATAGCGATAACGCTAGAATATTCGATGGCAAGGGTATAAATCTTGACACACTTCACCTTTTGTCAATTGAACGACTGCAGACGCTCCATTAGCCGCTATCAGTGAAAGTCTGCTTCTGTGATCAGACTTTCCGTTGACCGGGCACAGGTTCGCAGTTTGATCTCAACATACAGTTTCTTATCTTCGGCCACGTCACGACCCCGTGACAATATTTTTTTTACTCCGTAACAATCCTTTCTTCATAATGATAAAAATGATTGATTGATCGAAGACAAATGAGAAAATTATCAATCAACATAAGCACTATTTTTCTGGTGCGGTAGTAGCTTCCACAGTGCGGTCAAAAAAAGTCGCCAAGTAAAGGCTGTTTCTAGGCCGTTGCTAGGTGATTCTGCATTGATTCTAAGCTGAGAGACGTTAAAGCCCATACAGGCACAGACACGACATGAATGGTCAAGCAGAAAAACTCTCATAAATCTACCGGCACATCGTAGTTGGTCTCGGATTGCTTCGAGGTCTTCTCTCAGCCATTGGCTTTCCCGTGCTGCTTTCTCCCTTTCTTGGCGAGATGCACATGAATCATGACATTACGGCATCTTGAACAGCGTACCGAGTAGGTATGAATCTGTTAGCATGTTTGTTGGCTGAAATGGTCTTTCTGCATTTTTTTCTAAGATCTGAGAGACTTACAGCAGCGTGGCGAGAACACCATTAGAATTATGTGTCTCCGCTGAAGAACACCCGACCCATTCCATTTCGAAGCCCTTGTACTTTACTGCAGGCTCATGATAAACAAACCAGCATTTGCCTGAGCTTTGTTTATTGCCTTCTGCCTTAAAGTTAGGTTCCTGCTGTTATAACACAGTTGCAGGCAAAAATGAGAGGGAACTACTAGAGATATGTACACTGTAGAAATAACAAGATCTCAGCAGTAAGATAATAGTCATGTGCGCCAAAGAAAGAGAATATCTTATGCTGCAAAAGTTAGCTTTCTTTCCTTTGTGGGCAACAGAAGGGGAATATTTGTGGCGAAAAATACTCTCCACCATAGCGAGTTGCTCATTAACAGGTCGTCTATGTGGCATAAGCTTAATTTTAGAGAAAAGCAGCACATAGTTTCGGGGCATCTCAATTGAGGGAGGGCACGTGGCACAGGTAGGGTGTTGAACCAGGCTTTGCAAGTTTGCATTTATTATGTTCATGTGCTTCGAGTTTTACCCTTGCACTGCCAATTGCTAGCTTCCTGGTTAGCTCAATTGGAGTGACCACCCGGAAAGGCGTTATTCCCGAGTTTAATTCCCGGACCAGGATGAATTTTTCAGCAACTAAGCTTTCCTTTCTAAAGAATTGGTATAGGATTCCTTGTGTATTTGCGCTACGAAAAAGTAGTTCTTGATCGATTGATATGTGGGGTTTAACGTCCCAAAACCACCATATAATTATCAGAGATGCCGTAGTGGAGGGCTCCGGAAATTTCGACCACCTGGGGTTCTTTAACGTGCACCCAAATCTGAGCACACGGGCCTGTAGGTACAAGTGGTTGTCTATTTTCCCTTTCTGAACCTGGCTTTGTGGGGGAAAAAATTATATTGCTTTAGCGCAGCTCAGTTTGAGCGTGAAGGAAAGATACTATGCAGTCAAGAAGGGGAATAAGCAGACCACAGTGTGAGCGCTAACTTCCAACTTTTGTTTATTGCATACCCTTAGAACACATTATATAGCTCATCTGTTGACTTTCGTGAGGCAGGCGTCAAAGTATGCGACAGAGAAAGCATTTCCACGTCTTGTTTCTGAGGGTGTTGACGTGGTTGCCAGCACTAAAGTAGCACATCCAAAACTCTCGATTAAGCGCGTCGCTGACTACCTGACAAACAATTCTCTATGTGTGCTACCAGTTGATAAGGAAGGTGCCTTCTGTGTGCTTCCTACAGGAGTGTTTTGTGAAAAAGCCAGCAGTGCCATTGCCTAAGTTTTCAAGCGGTGCGATGACGTAAGTTCTCAGCTATTAAGCTACGCAAGAACTTCAACCTTGGTAAATTGGAGAAGTCATTATCAAACAGCAAAAGGAACCACCAGTTGGTTCAGTTCAGCACAAAAACCTATAAAGTTGACATTCCTCTAAGGGTTATTATGTCAGAATATGACTCATGGCAGAAGCTAGTAGCACTGTTCTTACAAGCCAAGCTGAGTGTTTGTCTATAAAAGACCCCTTCTTGATAAGGAACTCGGATTAAATAACCAATTTTTTAGAAACTAACGCTGACAAAGGTTACCAAGCATTTTCCATTAACATCAAAGATCTTTTTTACTCAATTCCTCATAAAGACCTGCTTGAAGTAATGGAACAGTCCATTGATGAATATGGTGCCATAAGGTTCCAAAATGACGCCTTGATATCTAGTAATGATTTTTTAGAGCTTTTACATTTTTATCTCAAGTCAACTTTTATCAAATGGCATAAGGCTGTTTATCTACAGAAAACGGGTGCATGCATAGGATTGTGCATTGCACCCATACTGAGCGATTTTTTTTCTCGCCCGTCTTGATGTTTTGCTGTCTGATAAGCTTGCTCAGACGAAAGTGCAAAAGGTTTTTCGGTATGTGGACGGTTTCTTTCTTTTTTACTGAGTGTTCTTCAGTTGAGATTGAGCCGAAGGCTCCAGAAATTCTGCCAATAATTAAGGAGTGTCTTGTACCACTTGAAGTGACGTACGAAATACCGCAAGAAGGCACAATCCGCTTTTTTTACTTTCGTCCCTCTTGTTCGTTCGAACAAACTTGCTGGTGCTATGAACCGTGGTCGGAAAAGCCTCTCTTGCCGTACTATTCAGCGCATTCATAGCTAATAAAGCGAGCAATTGCCAGGTTATGTTTTAGAATTGTCCTGTTGAAGCCATGCCGTCACTCTATTGCTGATAGTTTTGCAAGACAAAGCAAGCGACTATCCTTGGCAGGCTACCCAGTGTTAGTGCAGGTGTCGGTAGCTGAGTACCTGTTGAATGGTCCACGTATGCGGGGACGACCGCACACCAATGGTGAGCCCGATGCTGGGAAAACCAGGGTGATTCCGTTTGTACATCAGTTCTCACACCATTTGAAAAAGATTGCCCTGAGAGGAAATGTCCGCGTGGTGTTCTCTGCTCCAGGCAAACTAAGCCATCTATGTAAGCTTACGAACCCTAAAAAGGAGGTGCAGCCCATCTGCGGAAAAAAAAAGCATGTAACTAAGTTTGTTGAATGCGCCCTAGCTGTTGTGCACATGTTCCTGCTGTCGTGTGGCACGGTTGACATTGGGCAGGCTGGTAGGTGTGTTAATGACCACTTGCGCGAGCACTCTTGCAATGTAAAAAACAAGCTTTCTTCAGGTGGTTTCCTGGCTATGCATTGTAAGACGTGTGGATGCACTCCATTCTTTGATCAGCGTGTCATCTTGGGCCGCAATCGTAACCAGTTGACACGAGAAATTATTGAGGTGAACGCTATTGCAAAATGTACGAAGCTGTGTGTCAGTTCGCTGTCTGTGGCCTTTCCGGCTCAATTTTCTGGAGCGCATGCTGTGAAGGATTGGTATAGAATTGTTAATTTGAAATCAGATCACAACTAGGTTTCTTTGATAGTGTGCTGTGCCACAAGTGTACCACCAAACCACAAGGTTTTGTCATGTGTGTGGCATCATGTGCAATGAGCTATATAATGTGTTGTAAGGGTAAGCAATAAACAAAAGTTGGAAGTTAGCAATCACACTGTCTGTTTTTTTTCCCTTCTTGACTGCATAGTACTTTTCCTTCATGCTCAAACTGACCTGCGCTAAAGCAATATCATTTTATCATGCACCAACTCACCCAGTCAGTTGTACTTTGTGGGGGAACACCACCTTGGAATTACACAGATGCCTGTGTTCTTCGTTATTGGCCTACTGGGGGCATCAACTCAATGCTCTTTTGAGAGGCAGGAATGATGGCTGGCAGTAATGCCAACAGCTGCCATAGACAATGACGCGCCTGCAAGCCATGGTATCTGGTCAAAATGCATTCACTGGCCGGGTCAGCTGTGTTTCCTGAACGTGACAACAAATGATTACAAGAGTGTTTGGAGGGCCCTGTCCCTATGCGGTGGAAAAATTAAACGGCACGATATTAAGGCATCAACGTTCTGGCTACAGACAAGAAAAGAAAACAAGAGCGTTTTCCGCAAAAGCTCCCCTTGAACATTGCATAACTGCATGGCAGAGCGAGATGACTAGCCAAGGCTGCGCATCACGATGCACTTCAGTGTGAACACCCAGGCAGTACACGCATGCGGCAGGCCAGGTAAGCGACTCACCAAGATCAGGCCGGAGATGAGGGAAGATGTACCCGTGAGAGCCACGTAGAACTTGGGCGTGAGCGTGTTCAAGAACACGGAGGCTGAAATTGGTTGAATCGGTAATCAAGTCAGACCTTTCACACGGCATAGCTGAGAGCGAGTGCTATTTTGTTGGTCTCGCGGCTTTTCTACAGCGCAGTTTGGAAAACTGAGCTCGAAAACTACGCACATGGAAAACTGAGCGACTCACCCATCATGTAGGTGGTGGCGTTGAGGCGCACAGACTTGAAGAAGTCTGGCAGCGTCCGCGACTCGAAAAGAACTTTTTCAGACGTTCAGTTGGCGAGCACTCCACGCGTGATCGTGCTCGCGGGCAGGCACCCGCTGTACCATTGCAGAGAGATCGGCATGACTGTGAGACGCGACTTTAGGCGCGCGTCTTAAACATCAATAGTCCAATGGTGGCATACGCATAGAAAGTACGGATTCAGAGTTGCGCTCACCACAACGACGCGCAAATGTGCATGCCCTGAACATAAACTGAGCCGCCAATGTAGTAGATCCGTGCGATGATTTGCCTCTGTCTGAATGAGAAGAGGAAGTCCATCAAACAGGAAGTCAGCGACTGCCGCCACCACCAGTCGCCACGGTCGCGCTGCTCAAACCACGGTGGCTCAAACCAACGCCTCCTAGAAAAATTATGCCTGGAACGCCGCTCTCTTTTCAATTGGGAGCCTTCTGCCAGCACGCAATCTCGGAGGCCACGCCTACTGCCTTGCGTTTCGACCCTCCGCCGCATGAGACCGCTCGCCTCTGTACTGCTCAGTCACTTGACATATCGTACCGCTCTGTCACGTGACATGATAGCTGCTTAGAGGCAACTGTGAGAGCGTTGCTGTGCTCGCAAGGGACGGCCGTCAGAGACGCTCGCCTTCGTACCGAAGGAGGAGGGTCATATCAGAGGGTTGGGCACCGCGATCGTGCTCACGTTCCAGGCACAATTTTTTTAGGAGGCGTTGCTCAAACATGCCTTGCCATGGCGATGTTCGAAGAGAGGCGCAGCACCAAGATTTTACTCGATGATACTCTACCGCTTTCGTGTGTGATTGAATCGTCCGAAAATGTTCAAGGCCACACCGTGAGTATTGCGCTGAAAGCAGCTCACGTTTCATCGCAACGTGCTCGCGTCTTCCTCCCCTCGGTTCTCGCTACTTGTGGAGGATACGCCTCCACCACACAGTCGTCATTAGTTTGTTTGCTTGCCGCACTGCGTTACATTCCCGCCTCGTTGGTTAGTTTGCCTTCGTCAAGTGTCCCTGCTAAGCTGCGTACACGATTCATCTGCAGCTGGTAACATTCGTGGATCGTTGTTAGTAGCAGGTCTTCATTGTACCTTCGCAAGGTGACGCGATCAGATATCGGACGGTGTGCACCGATGACAACTTTTGTACATGGCTAATATTGTTCTCTCTAAACTTAGTGTCCTTGTACTTCTAATTTACGCTTCTTCTGAGAATACTGCCATGGCAGTCCAGCGCGATTGCAGCGTTACATCACAAAGAACATTTGGTGGCGCGCATGACCTGTAGTTGTGGACGGGAGCAAAGGCCAGATAGGAAAACCAGGCAATGGTGGAGTGTCTAACAAATGACATTGAGGAATTAGGAGGAAAGAGCGAGTGGAGATAGGAATGCGCACATAGAATATATACACCGGTATACTGACCCAACAGGCAAAATGATCATGTATGTTTGAAAGGCATGATTTGATCATTTGCAACAATACTGAGAGGTGTGAAAGGCAGATCATGGGAGGTAGGAAGGCTGTATTCGAAGATAGATTATGCACTGATGTCGCATAGGATGTATGATAGGCTCAGGGGAATGCACATAGATAAATGTAGCTGCACAAGTCTGGGTAGTGATCACAAACGTATGAAGCTAAGTTTTGGAAAAGAAACGAAAGTGGGAAGGAGACAAGATCAGCAACTACAAGGGAATTTTTACTCAGAAGGGCTAATAAAAATGGGTAATAAACAAATTGAGAAAGTAATCACTGAGTTTAATAAAACATCGTGGGCGTACTCGAATCTAATTAGACTGTATGAGCTAGAACTTGCTAAACTGGACACGTCGCCCTGGAAAAGAAGACACAAACCCAAGAGTTAGTGGGATAAGAGTGTTAAGAGAGTCATAGCAAAACGCCGTGAAGCCTGTAGGGAACACAGACATTCTAAATAGAGGGGTGAACCGACATGTGATGTTGAAAGTAGAAGAGAAGCATCTCTTCTGATCGGTCAAAAGATTAGAAGAAAGGGGGCTCAGTGGCTAGCAGAAGTACACAAAAAGGATAAAAAGGCAGCCTCAAAATTTTGGAACCATAAAAAAACTCCTAAGTAGTAAGACAAGCCTAGAGCAGAGGTTTAATAATATAGCTCAAGGTGTTAGGCTAGAAGGGGACGAAGCAATTGAATATATAAAAATAAGGATGACAGAAAAATTTCAACAAGTGCCTAGCAGAAAAGAAACACAGGCCTATCAGGCTAGCATTTTTGTATATCAAGGTAGCCTATGATAGCGTGGTTCAAGAGGACTTGTGGGGAATACTGGACACACTATGTGTGAAAGATTGAGTCACTAAGCTTTTCAAGCATATCTAGAAAAGAAACAAGGCAGTTATAAAATGGGAAAAATAAGGTATCCTTGACCACACAGATAAAACGGGGGTTTAGGCAGGGGTGTCCTCTATCAGCCTTGTTATTCATGATTTACCTACTAGGATTAGAGGCCAAATTAGAGGGAAGTGGACTTGGCTTCAACCTCTGTTTAGTCAAACAAGGAAAGCTCATTGATCAGGCACTACTAGCATTAATGTACGCAAATGATAGAGTGCTAATGGCCGACAACAAGGAAGGTTTGCAGAGATTGAAGGGCATCTGCCGTAATGAAGGAGATAGGTTAGATTTCAGATTTAATAAGAAAAAATCAGCAGTCATGATTTTTATTGATTATGAAGGTTGTGAGCTTAGAATACAGGAGGTCACGCTAGAGATAACAGATAAATACAAATACCTGCGCAAATGGATAAGCAATGAGGCCGAGTACCTAAGGAAACACGAAATATACGTAATGACTAAAGGTAACAGGAATACAGCGTTGATGAAAAATAGGGCACTGTAGAATCACAATACGTATGATGATGTGAGAGGAACTTGGAAAGGGGTCATGGTTCCTGGTCTGACGTTAGGCAATGCGGTCTTGTGCACGAGATCAAAAGTTCAAGCAAGACTAGAAATTAAGCAACGTGGAATAGGTAGGCTTGCTTTAGGAGCTCGCGGGAATACACCAAATCAGGGAGTACAAGTCGATATGGGATGGACATCATTTGAGAGCAGGGAAGCAAGCAGCAAGATAAAATTTGAGAAGCGATTGAGGAAAATGGGGGAGGAGCGTTGGGCTAGGAAGGTTTTCAGCTACTTGCACATGAAGAATGTCGATATAAAATGGAGGAAGCGAACCAGAAAATTCACGGCTAAATACTTAGAAAAAAGCAGGGGGCCAAACCAAAAAGAACTATCGGTTAAGAAGAAGGTGAAGGAAACGGAGACCGACATGGGATGTTGAAATTTAGCATGATTAAGCAGTCCGCACTATAGATCTATTGAACATTTAAGCAGGAAATTGCCAAAGAAAGGATCTACGATAATACTCAAGGTAGTTCTGTACTGTTTGAGGCCAGGATAGGAGTATTGCGAACCGAGACATATCGGGCCAAATACGAAGGGGTAGACACGGTATGCAGTGCGTGTGGAGAGGAGGAGGAAACTGCCTAACACTTGATAATGTTCTATAAAGGGCTTCACCCTATAGTTCAGGATGATGGCACAGAGTTTTTCAAAGCACTGGGGTTTAGGGACAGCGAGGGTAAAATAGACTTCAGGCTAGTAGAAATAATCAGAAGGAGGTTATCTGATTGGTGGCTAAAATCAAGGCACGAGTGAAAATTAAATCCTTCACTGCAAAGTACGTCGTTCTCTATTAAAAAAAAAAAAGATAAATCTAGTTTTTGTTCACTAAGTGTTACGGCTTGGTGGCATTAGCCACCGCCTGATCTAAAGGGTACATCTATCCATCCTACCTAGAGATACTTCATATGCTACCTATCTATAATTACCATGTAGCGTTAGCTTCCCCCCCCCCCCCTTTTTTTTTTTGCCTCGCAGAAATGTTCTGATGTCACCGGGGGCATTCGACCATGCCTCGACATATGCAGGTCAAGCAGTTCTACTCGTCACTTCGTGATTCAGTCGCATTAAGAACTAATTTCGGGCAACTCGCTTGGTCGAAGCAGCTGATATCTTTTCTTTCGGAGCTGTTTAGCCACATGCCACTGACGATAACTTTTGGTGTATCACTGTTTTCATGTAAGTACCTGTACAATAAGCGCAATCATTTTGGTCCACTTCATTTAGTAAACCATTTAATTGGCAGTGTTGCATATCCTGGTTTCTTTGTACTGACATGGTCATTGTACGTTACAGAACACCAGATGGTCAAAATTACTGGAGCTTTCTGCCAAGGCTTTTCTCATAATCATATGCTGCTTTTGGCACATCAAACCTCATATATTAATAATATTATCGTTATTATGTTTATGTTCTGACATAGTGTTTGCTGTAGCTTGCTTCACCCATGGCACAGTCTACGTACATTGGTGTTTTATTATTATTTTAATGGAAGCGATAGATGTAATCTGGCACAAGCTCTTATTGAGAGTTAAGCTGCAAAAATCATAGAATCTTATCTTCACAACGTAAGCAGGTTTAAGGGGCACTAAAGGCAAATAGCAATTTATGTTGGAGTGAAATCTCAATGTATGACAATGTCTGAAAGGACAATATTATCCACAGTAGTGCCCTACTTACTAAGAAATTGAGGTAAATGCACGAAAAAACATGTGGTACACGTAGGACATTCGCAAAATGATCCTGATGACGTCAGTGTTATTGCCTACACTGTACGGTTAATCACTAATAATTGAACTGGCTGCACTAAATGAAGAACCTTCTGTACATCAAGAGATATAATTAAATGCTGCTTGTTTGTTTCTGTTTGATTTATGGAAAAAAGAACCGCCGGATGTTGCTACGATGAATGGTGCCAGTGGTTCAAGAGTTGGAAAGGTCGTGCCATCTAGCAGGGTTCAACTGAGTCAAGCACACCTGCAATCTCAGAGGCCATGATGAGAAATTGTTCAGTGGCCATTGTTGCTGCTGTGGCTACTAGTGTGGATGGTTGCGCAGTAAAGCCGGGCAATGTTGTGCGCGGCAACAGTGACGCGAGACAGCCACTTTCAGGCGGCGAATCTGAAGTGCGCTAACGCGGTGCACACCACTACAACGCGATGCTTATTTTAAAATAAGCACCTTCCAGGTACGAAAGTAGAACTACAAGATTCCTGTAGCACTATTTCAACAATCAACATCGATTTATTATTTGCCTTTAGTGTCCTTTTAAGGGGGGACGTGGCAATGAGAATGATAAATTTGATCAAAATGTTCAGTTTTTCAATTAATTTTTTTCTGCAATCCTGAGGCCATGTTTTACATCATGGTGAAATATTAGACCAAAATAAGTGGTACAAGTTGAGAAAAAAATTATTTTACTGGTGGGCTGTCGTCAAAAGCTGCATGAAAATTGGGCTTTAGAGAGCGTAAATCTGCCGCTTTCCCTTGGCATCATTGTAAAGAGGACAGAACGGAGCTCAAGATCCCCACAAAGCTGCATTTCTCCAATAAAAAGTGAAGCCAGCTTCGTTCTGAGTTTCGTTCTTTTGGCTTCTAGCTCCACTTTCTTGAGGCTCTATTTTCGCAGCTTTCTTTTTTGAGCAAGTGCTGTCGGTCAGCTCTGTATCCCTGTGCCATTTCACAACAAATGAAGGTATAGCGATTCCGCTTTCTGCAGTTAGGCCCCGAGACATTAGTCAATGCCGTAAAGCTGGTCATATCTGTGTGCACATTGTTCACATTTTTATAATAGGCTTTTGGTAAGAGTTGTTAGTAAGACAATAGCTCCACATAATTTCAAAAATGATTTTTGTGTGTTTACTTGATTATTGAAAAGTAAACCAATAGCATTACAGTCCAGAATAGACCCTTGTGGATATTCGTATGCATAAATTTTGACGAATTTATCTCTCTATAAATAATTAACTTTGGGATGACCATGAGAGTCTATTCAGAATTGGTGACTCAAAAACTACATTAGATAGCTCAAAACCGATCTCAGTTTTCATATCAGCACAACAAACAACATGTGCATGCCGAATTTCATCACTTTATTTTCCAGCAATAAGAAAGATAGTATTCATTGCCACGTCCCCCCTTAAGCTACACTAAGCGTGCAATCTTCTCTTGAATCCATTGAAATTGGGTTGCTGTGATTAATGAGGCTGTGGTAATATATATATGAAAATTTTGTTGGAAGTTCTTGGTGGGATTCAGTGGACTTGAAAAACAGTAAAGTCAAATGTCTGTATAATGAAGTGCTCGAGGTTATCAAAGCATCTTGTTATGCAAGTCACTTCGTTGTAAGTAAGCATTGTGCACAGTTGCACTGACAGGGGCACAAGGAATGCTTTGTAATGTGCTTCATTTTTTTCTACAGCCGTTTGTTGAGCAAGCACAAAAAAGAAAGCCTATTTTCCTTGTGCAAAAAAAATTACTGTCTCACGATTCCAAAATCATCAGACTTGCTGTGCGAAGACAAGTGGCAAGCGGGAAAATGGTCAAAAGAAAATCCCAGCAACGACGCCAGTCACCATGGTGTCATAGATTCTGGTGGCATCTGCTAGGGCCTGCAGAGGTTCCAGTAGTATAAAAGGAGTGAATCGTTCTCTGAAAGTGCCGAGAACTTGGCATACAAAGTTCCAGAAAACTTCATTGAGCCACCAAAGTACGAAAAGTACACTTTGATATTAAAAACTTTGAACTTGGCTTTTTTAATTATTATCGCAATGAGTGTGACAATAACAATGTTAGAGTTTTCAGAGTAACGTTCATCAATATCAACAGATCCATATTTTTCACCTCAGTGTCTGTTTAAAGGGCCAGTAAACAAGCTTTGACGCTTTTTTTTTATCTCCCTCAGACAAGCTTGCCAATTTGTACTAGACTGCAACGATCACCTTTTTTTAATATTACAGCATTGCGCAAAACTTCCATGAAAAAAAAAAATTCCCGCGCCTATTTCTATCGCTTGTCCAATATTTCTCATACGCGCAATGATGCAAGCTTGACCATGGACAACTGACATACCATTGAGCTCGTCGATAGGTGGATAGTAAAATCGTGGCTCACGCAAAGAATTGTGGGCTACGGCACCCATCTGCATAGGCTTCTGGTTGGAGATGCCATGTCGCCGTACGGGCATTCTCGTCTGTACCGTCGCTTTCTGCTTGTTCCACCCAGTGTTTGCGGTGCCCTTTTCTCAGAAATTGGTTCATAATATTCTGGGGAGCTATGTAGTTTAGTTGAATGACAAATTCAGTCAATATGAGATAGTCATGATCGTGCGAGCAATCATTTCTTCATTCAAGCGGCATGCACCTTCAGACACATGCTTGTTGTTTTTCTGCAAAGGGTGTTATCACACACCTGTTGTGACATACAATTATTTTATAGACATTTTAGCATCCCGATATATACCTTCATTTGTTTTCATGCTGCTTACCCGTCAAATGATTTATTTGCTTTTTTGTTACAAAGACGCCATACCGGATTCGATATGGTGAATGACAAGAGTAAACTATTTTTTACTCCAAAAATGAAATGCAGTCGTAGTTTTCTGTCTTCTTTACTACTTTCCATCTTCCTAACCTGAGATCTCGTTTGCTCACGCTCTTGAACATTGTGTTTCAATGTATGCGAACATCTCCGCACACAACATACATAACAAAGCCTATCGGCACTTTACACGTGCAAGTCGAACATAAAAAAGACGCTGTACCATGCTACTCCTTGCTTCAAAAGCTACTTTGATTGCCTTACGTCCCACGGTACCATTAAAAGAGTGGACATTTTGTTTTGTGGGCCTTTTATGCCCTTAGAGGTTTCCACAACGCGTACTTCTGTTTTCATCGAGCGTATGTTGTCATTCGGCAGCATGTGCCCGTAAGTGTGAGTGATTTTTAAGTGGTCGTCACCGTTTGTGCTCGAAATTATTAAATCGAGGTTGTTATAGAAAACATTACTACATGTTTGAATGCATAATTGCATGCTGCGTTCGAAGCCTGCCTGTTACTGTTCTTCGTGTTTGCTCATTTCCACTTCTCGCTTCGCTCTCTGAAATGCACGAAATATCGTCTATTTATTTGCAAATAAAATAAAAAGAAGATAATCACTTAACAAGCGGCAACAGACGTGTCACTGAATTTAACGTATTTTCTTCCCGATTACGTTGCGCAGTAGGCACCTTGAAGCAGCAAAGAGAGAGGCCTCGAACAGGAAGTACCGTAGCAGACGACGCGCCATTTTGTTATCCACCTATTGGTTCTTTGCCCTATGAAACGGCACTTTGGCTGTGCGGTAATGCAGTTTCGGCCGCACAGTGCGCACTTAAATTTGTGTGCTGCCCTCTGCTGTAAAGCCATAGACTACCGGGAAAATAGGTATTGCCGGAACAAAAGTCTTTGAGATAAAGGGGCATTTCCAAGAACGGAAGGGTGCTCTTCAAACAGCTCTTCCTCCCCACACTGCTACAACATGTGCTCATGGTTGGGATGCCCTGCTCGGTCTTTGGCTGCGCTCTGATGACGTATCGCTGACGTTGTGTCACGTTGCCCTCATAAGATGTGTTTTAGTATTAAGTATTGTTTGAGAAATTTGCAATTTGTGTAACCTTTTCATTTGTACTGTACTTGATTGTTGTACTTATTTCAGATAATTTTCTTTTGTCTCAATTCAATCTGTGCATTAACAGCTACTATAGTTTCTTTTTAGCGATAACTTCGGTAGGGACTCTTTAACAAACAAACAAGTTTGTTTGGCCCTGGAAGTGTGTTTTTGTAATCATACATGTTTTATGTTAAATAAACTTTCAAAACTAGCCTGTACTGGTAAGGCATGGCTACTGGTGCCACTACACATATCCAACGAAAATTTTGTGGTAGCTTGATATTGCGCATTATGTAACACGGCCTTCTCATTCTGGACACAGTGCTACAATGTACGAGTGCAGCGCGGGTTTCACCAGGAGACCACGTGGGTGGTGCAGAGACGGTATAGTGACTTTGACGCCCTGCACAATCAGCTGCAAGTTTCGGGCCAGGAGTTGCCCTTGCCGCCAAAAAAGCTGTTCAACAAGATGAGCCGAGAATTCATTGCCGAGAGGCAGCAGAAGCTGCAGGTAAGAAAGAGTTGTTGTCTTGCACTACCCTCGAGTCCAAAGGTACAGTCTGTTTCACACTTAGGGGAAATGTCGGAGCGCAAAGCATTGTGATGCGGACAGCGCTTCGGTCGCGCCTGGGCAGCAGCTCACGCATGCGCAGACGCTAGAAGATCATGTTATTGAAACACATTGTCTGTGACGGCGGTGTGCGATGTCTACATTGTCGGGCAGACTGCTGATTTCATCATTGCTGCGAGAACTATATAGGCCGATATTCTGTACTAAACGTTGTGCGATGCGAAGCTCTCAGTCTTCTTTGGTGATAAGCGAGTTCTGGAAACATCATACGTTGGTTGCCGTGGTACTGAGGGCATTCATGTATATTTCTTTCTGCTTGTACAGCACTCTGCGATCAAGAATATCGTAATAAGCACGTACGGTGCATAGTATTTATTTTTTGCTAAATAAAAAATAAAGCACTCTACAGCGACTGCCGTGCAGCTATGCGGGTGCAACACACACATAAAAAAAATGAGAAGTTTAGGAATGTTGTAGGGTGAGTCAACGACCTGAAAGTGCTTTTTCTCGATGGCATTTCATTACTTGAGGCAGCACTCACTCGGGGACACCAAAATGCATGCGTGAAGCTTCCAAATCGTTGAACACCCCGTCATGTCCTCCTCAGCCGCAGCGACGACGGTGCTCATTTTGGACGACTGTGATGCGTACTGTGAGTCATGACACGATGTAAAATATGTGCCCAGTTCCCGCAGCAATCATTAAATTCACCCGCTGCCTGACAATGCGGCCAGCGCGGGCATCCGTTGCTGACAAAGCGGTTCAACTGTCCCAACACAATGCCCCTCAAGTCTGCGCACGTGCGAGCTGCTGCCGGCGCGCAACTGCTGCGTTGGCCGCATCATGGCTGAATCGCGAGGCCACAAGCTCCGAGATTTCCCTTAAATGTGAAACAAACTGTGCATACACATGATACAGTGTCAAGCACTAGGGAAGTTATGCAAGGTTAGCAATAATGGTGACACTGAGAGGAACGAGAGATGACAGCCGCGGTCGATGTGTGCATCATTGTCAATCTGTCTCTTCAATTACATGCAGCCATATGAAATTTAACAGCACTGCCCCAAAGTTTGGCCAATCGTTTCAATTTTCTGACTTGCATGACAGACATTTTTAAGCGAAGTATTAGCATAGCAGAAAACATGCAGTGTCTGAGATCAAGTGATTGCATGTGGGACGCTCATTGAGTTCTGTTTTGAATGACAATGCGCACATGTGGCGTAGTAGTCGCAGTGTTGAGCTTCTGTACTAACGGTCAATAGTTAAATCTTGCTATCAAAACATTTCTGTTTATTCTTGACAGGCCCAGATTTGGCTCTGCGCTGACATTACTCGTTAGTAAGATCATTTGCAGTTAGGCTCCCAGATAACCTGTAGGTCGAAATGGCCATGTGTGAAACTTTATGCTCATTGAGTACAGCAGCTGCTACATATAGAGTGCTATTTGATGAATTCTTAAAAGCATGCGTGTTAACAGTATTGCACTAATCGTTTCTGAGGTGTGCATGCTCAAATAAGAGATGGGGAAGTCACTGTACCTTCTCCAATTAAGGGCTCGAGTGCCAGTTTCGTCAGCGTCATAAGATGTGGGGTCTCGAAATGGCGAGCGAGCGCCACGCTCTTGGAGTGAACGGACACAGCAAACGCGGTCGGTACAAACCAAGCATCATCATCATCATCAGCCTGACTACGTCCACTGCAGGATAAAGGCCTCTCCCATGTTTCGCCAGTTAACCCGGTCCTGTGCTTGCTGCTGCCAATTTATACCCGTAAACTTCTTGATCTCATCTGCCCACCTAACCTTCTGTCTACCCCTAACCCGCTTGTCTTCTCTGGGAGTCCAGTTAGCTACCCTTAACGACCAGCGGTTATCCTGTCTACGCGCTACATGCCCGGACCATTTCTTCTTCTTGATTTCAGCTATGATATCCTTAATCCCCATTTGTTCCCTAATCCACTCTGCTCTTTTCTTGTCTCTTAAGGTTACACCTACCATCTTTCTTTCCATTGCTCGCTGCGTCGTCCTCAATTTAAGCTGAACCCTCTTTGTAAGTCTCCAGGTTTCTGCTCCGTAGCTAAGTACCGGCAAGATACAGCTGTTATATACCTTTCTCTTGAGGGATAGTGGCAATCTACTTGTCATAATTTGAGAGTGCTTGCCAAATGTGCTCCACCCCATTCTTATTCTTCTAGTTACTTCAATCAAACCAAACAACATACATTTATCTAACTAATTTTAGAACGATATCGTCAGCCGAATTATTACATCAATCGTGATCGACACATTAGGACATCCTTACACAATTGTAAACATACACACACTCCAAAACACGGCAAACACAATAACACACCCAAGGCGTCGCCGCCACCGCTCGACTTACCACGCCCCGCTGTGGTGGTCTAGTGGCTAAGGTACTTGGCTGCTGACACGCAGGTCGCGGGATCGAATCCCGGCTGCAGCCGCTGCATTTCCGGTGGAGGCGAAAATGTTGTAGGCCTGTGTGCTCAGATTTGGGTGCACGTTAAAGAACTCCGGGTGGTCGAAATTTCTGGAGCCCTGCATTACGGCGTCTTTCATAATCATATGGTTTTGGGACGTTAAACCCCACAAATCAATCAATCGCTTGACTTACCACGAGGGCCCCCTACGCACAGCCCGCGGTATCACGCACCGGGGACCCACGCTAGAGACAACCGTTCGGGGCAACCGCCACACGCAGAAAGAGACGAGCTCATTTCTCGCTCGTCGCTACCAAGGCTTGTCGTGGCCGGCACTATACCATGATGATGATGATAGCGGTGACACTGCTCGCGTACACAACGCCACCTATCGCTTCTTAGTTGTAACCCTAAATGTGGCTTTTGGGCAAGACACGTGGGCCATGCAATGGAAACAACTTGACAGAGGGTATCAGCACCCTCACAAAGATTAGCTTAATTTGTTGTGTTTTGTTGGTTACTTAGCTATCATGTGAAGGGGAAACATGTAAAAATTCTATAAAAGCACTGCCAGCACTTCATTTTCAATCATGAAAACTCTTCACAAGGCATAGTATGGGACCTGTGTTCTTCACGCTCAAGGAACCATATGTAAACCATCAGACACTCTTTGGTTGACGCTCTGTATCATTTGAGTAATGGCAGCGGAAACGCATTTGATATTTATGAGTAAATTCATATCGAAGCTTGCTTTTACACTGCAAAAGCTTGCCACACAAATGATCTGTGCGAAAGTGCCCCTTTATGGCTCTGATGCTGCTGAACAAGCTAGAAGAATATGTAGAGTGGCTGCTCAGGCAAAGCCATACAGTAGTAAGGTCCTCAATTAACTGGCTGCAAATATTGATAATTTTAGTGCATCTGATGCAAGCTCTGCACCTTATTCAAGTATGTTTTGTTGATTTTATCAGAACTTATATTTCAGGTCTGTACGCAATCATAGCTTTTTTACAAAAAAAAATGTTTTTCATTGAAACTTGGATCACTTTCATATCACACCAATAGGCTGCAATGAACCTCAGTAAGGAAAATTGTGCCACAAGATTTAATATGACTGCCTGTTATACAAAGGTGCCCATAGTGCTATTGCATACTTTTTTTGTTATTTAATCACTAAGTTTTTAATGTTTATCATATCTCATTTGTTTTGGTTCATTGCACAGGCCCAATGCTCTTCACGGCGTGTTCACAAAAGTTTTTCAGGACCCTAGATTGGGAACAGTTAGGGATAAGAGTTGATAGAGAGTATCTTGATAACCTTCGATTCGCTGATGACATTGCCTTGATGAGTAACTCAGGGTACGAATTACAGCTCATGATTACAGAACTGAACACGGAAAACAGAAAATTAGGTCTGAAAATTGATATGCACAATACTAAAGTAATGTGCGACAGTCTGGTCAGAAAACGGCACTATGCGAGAAGTGGAGACCTTCTTGGACTGGTAGTAACTGTGAAGCCGAACCATGAGAGTGAAATAACTAGAAGAATAAGGATGGGGGTGGATCACATTCGGCAAGCATTCTCAAGTCATAAATGGTAATCTGCCACTAACCCTCAAGAGGAAGATATATGACAGCTGCATCTTGCCGGTACTCATCTACGGAGCAGAAACCTGAAGGCTTACAAAGAGGGTTCAGCTTAAATTGAGGACGACGCAGCGAGCGATGGAAAGGAAAACAACAGGTGTAACTTGAAGAGACAAAAAGAGAGCATAGTCAGTCAGGAAATAAACTGGGGTTAAGGATATTATAGTTCAAATCAAGAAGAAGAAATTGGACATGGGCAGGGTACGTAGCGCGTAGGCAGGATAACCGCTGGTCATTAAGGGTAACTGACTGGATTCCCAGAGAAGGCAAGCGGGTTAGGGGTAGACAGAAGGTTAGGTGGGCAGATGAGATTAAGAAGTTTGCAGGTATAACGTGGCAACAGAAAGCACAAGACCAAGTTGATTGGCGGATCATGGGAGAGGCTTTTGCCCTATAATGGGCGTAGTCAGGCTGATGATAATGATTGCATGGGCCAAAGGTTTTCTTATGTCCCTACAAAAAATTGAACTTTTTTAAGTGAGTCGAATTGAGTTTAGAGTGTTGGCTTAAGGCCCACTTTTAATGACATTTAATTTATATGAAACAGGACTTGCTTTAGAATGCTCACATGTGCCTTTAAAGATAGACTTCACATTGTAGACTAATCTCTAGTGATTATCGCTTTAAAAATTTTTTCTCGACACTTGGCGTCATACATTTATGGCATCAGTACATCATTTTGCACAGCCAGGCTCAAGCATGTCGATGTCACCTCAGCATCAATTAAATTTTGAAAGCTGTGAGACAGGGGTGGCCTCATGGCCATTATAGTAGTATTTCAGGTTTTGCCATTTTTGTTACCGCATTCAAATCTTGTAAAAATGTTCGTTAGTGTAATGCTTTACTTTAAACACTGCTTAGGAATATCTGGACCTGGTGCTTTCAGAGCCCATACTGTCACAATGTTTGGCGGTCAAGCGCTTCCTGGACCCAAATAATTACAGCCAGAACTTTTGTGGTGCGTATGTGTCCCATGCCTTTATCATTCATTTTGCATTGTCACTAACACTGTGCGAATGTTCCTTGAAGGGCCAGTAAACAACCTCTGGATCCAAAAATTGTAACGAAGAGAAATATACACACTTTTGCTATGTGAACATGCTGCCACGAGAATTTTTCGAATACATGCTATAAAAAGGAAGTTAACAGGGGTTAGAAGATACAAATTTTGTAGCTCAAAGTTGTAGTTAACGTGGTTGCTTCGGCGAGTTGGTACGACATGATTCACATAAAAAACTGCGCCAATAACGAAGGACAAAAACAAGAGACAGACAGCGGCACTGCCGCTGCCTGTCTCCTTCTTTTTTTGACTGAGCAGGGCTTCACCCACATGAGCATGTGTCATGGCGAAGAAAGTGACACCTCTTCACCTTGTAGGCTTTTGCGTCTCCATGTAGTCTCCGGCCCTACAGAATGACAGGGGGCAGCATAGGAAAATGAAAATGCGGACTGGCAGACCAATTGACGAGCTCAGTCAAGTCACTCATAAGCAATTTTGCTTCCTGCGTGTACAAGGTGATTGGTCAGGCGAAGGAAAGAAGCGCGAGTATTGTTGTTTTTGAAATAAAGGGTCTGCGCGGTGTGCCGCACTGTAATGTTAAAAAAATGCGATCTGCTCCACGGACTGGCGAGCTTATTTTGGGGTCTCTCTGATGGAGCCACAGTTTTTTCTAACATGGTTTGGGTCTCTAACGTCATGCTAGTTTCTTCATGTTCGCTGCTTTTTTTTTGACAGTCGGCTCTATACAAATATTTGCAATGGTTGCTAGTGTCGTCGACTACTTATCTTCACAGTTCAGCGAAGGCTACAGAGGCAGGGCTCCCACACATTCCTGTGGTTCTGCAAGTAGTTTGGCACCATGCAGCTGGTTTTGGTTTTGCTAGCTGTGATCGTTAGTTTGTTTAGAAAATTATATGCACAAAAAAAAATGTGCATGAGTGAAACCCTTCAATTGTTCTGTGTACATTTTAGTGTCTTATTATGAGTATATTTTAACACGAAAGTGTTTCATGCCGGGGTCCACCAAGACTTCAGTGATGTGTTTCCGTCATGGAGATGATGTTACAAAAATATGCGTGATTAAAAGACAAAGAAAAAAAAGTTCCTCCGAAAGGAGTAGAACCTATGACCTCTGGGTCGCGACAACAGATGGTGGGTACGCAATCCACTGTGCCACTGTCACATACTTGGAAAGGTATGAAAATATGCTTATTCCATCTACCACTGTTTTCTCACGCTGCTCTTGGTAAAGTGCAGTTACACATCATGACCGTGGCATCTACGATTAGGCCCTTCAATGTGTCCTTTCTAAGCGTCTGTCCCATTTGGCTAGTTTACAATAAAACAATCCAATTTTCTCCATGCCTTAGCACACCCCCAGGTGGCAACCTTACCCCTAGCGTCGGCACCGCTCATAGCATTCATCCATCCCAAAAAATAGCTCTGCAATGCATAGAGCAATGCGCCTGTTTTGTCTGTATGTAACTTAGAGTTTCCCGCTTACACTCGCCCTGCAAAGTATCGGAGCCAGCTGTTGGGCAGCGGTGTTCAATGACTACAACATGTCAGAAGTAGGCGACTTCAGCCCAAGTTTGGCTTCCAATCAGTCTCTCTGTTCTGGCTGTCAAAATTAATTCTCCAGCTACCATAGTGATGTGTTTAATCATTAATGATGGGCATTAGTCGTCAGCATGAAGGTCTGAGTGACAGTGTGGATGCATCCACGTCAAGAGGGGCTGTCCAACACCAGCAGGCATTGTGCAAGCTCTCTTATATCAGTACTTTGAGGACGCCTTTCGTGATTTATTGATTCCTGTGATCAACCATGTTTTTTTTTTTGGGGGGGGGGGGGGATAACTAAACAACGAGCTTGTGGCCACACACCTGACTCACTTTGTCATGGGTAACGTGTTTGCCTTGTAAAACTGTTATGCTGAAAAGGTGGTGCTGGCTAAGAAATGGAAAGAAAAAAAGAAAGGCATTGTTGTAAAGTGCCCTCAATATTGGGAGAGTTGGTTCATTGTACTTGAACTAATATAGCACATTATGGTAAAGAAGAAATGGCAAACACGAGAGTACAGAGTGATCTGTCCTCTTGCTATAGTCTATTCACTTGTGCTGTGTAGATTTCAGTAGTCGGTCTAGCTGCCATTTGAAAGCATGTAAACTTAAATGTCTGTTGCAGCATGTTGCTTAGGTTGGGTTTAATTTATTGTGTACTTGAGTAGCGATCCTGTGGCTCACTTTCGTTTTCTAGAAAAATTTGCATATACAGCCACCATGTCGTGTAATGCTAGGGATGGGTAATTTGTAAACAAGATGCTCATCAGCATCATGTATGCATGTTTGCTTGAACATCTGCTGAAGATGATGGCACTTGTACTACCAGTGTCAAATGAACAGCGGCAAGCCTTTGCGATGGTTCAGTACGTGCTGTCCATTTATCACCATGGACAGGCATGCATAAATTCTGCCGAACAGGATGTTCATGCCTGTCGATGGTGATAAATGGACGGCACGCACTATATCATCACGAAGGCTTGCCGCTGTTCCGGTTTCATTTGATGCTGATAGTACTACAAATGTAGCTGAGAAAGTGGAGCCAAATCAAAGAGCTGGATCTTTACACATTGCTTTTTCATTATTCAGAAACTAATGATAATGCAGACAATTTTTGCAGTCAGCTTAAGAACTTTGAGTCAGAACAACGCTATGTGCAAGTTTTTCGTTTTTATATTTTTTTGCATGGAATGTAAAATTTGAACTGTGATAATGCAATTGTGAAAAGTGCACATTTGGTGATACTGGACACACAATCTTTTTTTCATTCAACATTTGTTCTAGAGGCAGCCCTCCAGCATGTTTCCATGTTGTTTCGGTCTGAGGATCACTGGGAGGTGGTAGACCCACTCCCAGACATTGGTACGTGCATTACATCATCTTTTTTTTCTCGTGACAAAAAAAATCTGAGAAATTTACATGGCTGTGTGGCGTCTTGATAATGCGCACTTTGCAGTCACATCAAAAGCACAAGTGGTGAAAATGTTAAGTTTTTGTTTTGTGCCGACGATTCCAGCTTGCTTTTGTAAGAAATGGAATCTGGTTCATTTTATTACAAAAGCAATCTGGAACATCTAGGGACGAAAGGAATATCAACTCAGAAAAGGTCCTTAAAAAGGGTTTGGACATGAAAGTACGCAAGAAAGACTCGAACTTGCGGCCCACGAAGGTGGCCGTTTTTGTCAGGAATTGTTGTTGCAAGACTGTACAACCACAGCCCCTCTTTATCAGATGTTTTTGCAGTGGTGTGGCCGACCTTTGGTATTGGTACATACTGAGAATGCCACCTGCATAGGTGGCGAAACGTCTGTGTAATTTTGATGCACTATTTTTTTGGAGTCATTGTAAAGTTTTTGTGATCACCTGTTTTTGGAACATTTTTGCACCTCTTCTTCATACTGATGGCCATAGGTCAGCAAAAACAAGTGGAACTCACTCAGAATTTCTCAATTAATATGTCTTGCGCTTTGGACTCACGAAAATTGTTGTCCACCAAAATGTGACTTATCTGGATTCACGACTCGATCTGAGTGAGTCTACTGACGAGTGAGTTCACCCACCTATGCTGGTGACACTTGCATGCTTTCTGCTCACACGGGAGGCTAGAGACATGATGTGTCCGTAACCACGAGTGTCAGTGGTGCAGTGTGTGAAGGTGTTAGTCCGCCCATTTGCAATTTGAGCTGGCAGTCTTTCTTGAAAAGGGCAACAGCACTTCTTTGGCACTTCCAGTGGACTGCCATGCGACCTGATTTTGACTGAAAGTCTATAAAAATGTGATGCAGTGGCTGTTTGCTTTCTCTGGAGCGTCGAGAGTTCCCTGGTGGTTTTCTTTTATTACTGTAAAACTTCGTTGATCACATCGCTGTTTGTTGAGTTGTCAGGCTAGTTCTAGGTATGAGCTATTTAGGTATGTTGTATTTTTTTTTATTACACGTTGTTGAAAGATAACTGCCTTTATCAGTTCTGTTCATGTCTCATGCACTAGACAAAATTATTTCTTGGCATAATGTGCCAGAATGATGTTATGTGCAGTGAAATATTGCATTTCCATATCTGCCAACTCTTACGAGTTTTCCGTAAAATGTACGAGTTTTCACTTCATTTACGGTTTTATGAATCTTGCGTTAAATGTTATGGAAAATAGTTTATACTCCAAAAAAATAAAAGGTGTAAAATTATTAAAATACAATCGAATTTGCAATTACCCCCGGCACGTTGCCTTAGCGAGTCACGGAGGCCATCAAAACTGCAACTGTTCCTCTGCAAAACGTTCCTCTGCAACGAAAAAACAGTGCGTACTTTTGTTATCATCATCAGCAGCAGCTGCATCTTTTAGCGGAGTAGCTATATGTATTTAGGCAATTCAATGACTTTTGTCACCTTTTCGGAGAAGTTTTCTTTTCTCCATACTGTCTGCGTGGACACGTGGCTGTCGGCATTGTGTGCCGGCCATTGCCTCAGATTTCATTGTTTGTGTCGCTTTTCATATGACGAGCTCTCATGTCGGATGCAGTGGGGCTAGCGTGTTTAATTGTACATTTGACTGGTCATTTTCGAGCGCTCCGGAGGCTTTAGTAGACACTGTCCGAGCACTCTCAAACGACCACCTGAACGTGCCATAAGCTGAAATGGATTCACAATGCTCTGGCAGGCTTGAAGCCGCAAAATTACTTCAAAGTGTTTCTGAAATCGTACTCGTATCTCTCGCTGAGTTTTCAGGAGGCTCCAGGATTTCGACCATTCCTTACCTTTGTTCTCTTGGCAGGAAGACTTTCTGGAAATCGATATTTATGTGTGTGATCTGGCCGTATTGACAAAAATGCAACTCAGTCTGATCCAGGCTTTTTGCAAAACCATTGCATTTTATGTTAACAAATTCAAGGGGCGTAGTAGAATCTCAGTAATATGAATTCGTGAAATTCCGCAGCCGAAATTCGGTTCCAAACACTTTCTTGTTCCGGTAGGTAATACAAACTTCGATACCAAGCTGTTGAGCGGCGGCTGAGAGTAGCGTGCTGGAAGCTTCGGAAGTACGCGTGGGACTAGTGCACAAGAACTGTGGCTATTGTTCGCCGCAGCAGCTGGACGGAATTGCACATGCTCTCGGCACGATCTTGCATGGCGACAACGTAGCTGACACAACTATGATTGTGCACATGTGTACACAGTCGAGCGACAGAACTTTTCGCAAATGCTGCGTACGAAACCATGGCAGATGCAGTAATAGATAGCAACAAATGACTTAGTTTTGATTGGAGGAAGAGTGGTCTTGAAGGCACATCCCGATTGCCTTGGCGCACCAAAGAAACCTTCACACTCCATAAACCAGAACAGTCCTTCCCGAAATATCATGTCATGCACTGTCGAAAATCAAACAAAACAGACAAGTCGATTAATCTCGACTTGTCTTAATCTCGACTTGTCTCGAAAACGCTTACAGAAGCCCAGGCTACAAAGTAACCAAGTTTGGAAGCGGCGACCTCCTTCTGGAGGTTCGCGACAAGCTCCATTGTGATAACCTATCTAAACTCGTAGCATTTGGGGACATCCTAGTTTCAGTAGGCCCGCACAGGTCGATGAATACAGTGCACGGTGTGGTCTCTGATGATGACCTTCTTCAACCATCTAAAAATGAATTATTAGAAGCTGGCAAGATGAGAACGTAGTCAAAGGCCAGAAAATAGTGATACGACGAGACAACAACAACAACAACAAAAAAAAACCAATGAAACATGTAATTGTCACCTTTAGTATCAGCGACTTACCCGATTCAATTGGAGCCGGCTACTGTAAGCTCAGTGTCAGGCCCTATGTACCAAATCCCTGTCGATGTTTTAAATTCCAGCGCTTTGGACATGGGTTACAAAACTTTAGAGGGCGCGCTACTTGTGCAAAATGTAGCTCCAACGGACATTTAACGGACAGTTGTACTGCTGCAGCTCTCTGTGCAAATTTCGAAGGAGACGATCCCGCCTACTCGCAATCGTGTTCATCCTGGAAAAAGGATAAATGAATCCTTGAGCTTAAAGTAAAATTCCATCAGTCTTTTCAAGAGGTTTGCCAGCGCTTCTCCCTTCATAACCAGCGCTCTCCTTCCTTTGCAGATGTGACGTGCCAGGGCGCTGAGCCAGATTGTTTCACGCCCGTGTGTATCACACTAAGTGTGACCACGATCACGCCATCTGCGCCCAAGTATTGGAGTAGCCTGTGCTGCTCCGCCCCCTGCCAAACAGGTTCAGCAGACTTCAGAGTCTGCCAGACCACTGCACTTACAGTTAGGTCCGAAATTTCTATGAACGTGCCTGCTGATCAGGCACCATTTGCCACCTCGCAGGAGGTGATGGAGACAAGTCCCACTTCTACGGCACCTCAGACGATGAAGGAAAGGCGCTAATCTTTGTAGCGTGCCTAAAAAGATAAATGTCGATATATGGGGCCCCCAGAAGGCCCTGTAACCTAAGGCAACACTTTTTGTACTCACTGCACCACACAACTTAAAAATTACAGATATAATACAGTGGAACGGTGGAGGACTGGTGAGTGTAGTAAAAGAACAACGAAGACAATGAGAACAGTGCCGAATGCGGCACGCAGCAGCCAAAAATAAAGCGCGTGGTGGTGGCGGCCAAGGAAAAAAAGGATAAAGAAGCCAGAAGCTGGGAGAGTGGCCACACAGGCAGTCGGCGTCCGAGAGGCGACCCATGCTAGTGAGGGCTACCCGGTACTACTCCTGGGCTGCCTCCTGACTGGCCGCTCTACTGCGACCGCTGGTCCCTTGGGCACCAGCTGCTGCCATGGCAGTGGCAGCTTATAGACTCTGATGTCTCTTTTGTGGAAGTCCCAAAGCACGTGCCAATTGCACACATTCTTACATACTTCCTCGAATTGCAAGAGAAATACTCATGCCCTGAGTTCATTACTGATGCCTCAGTCCACTGTCATATGCAGCGGTAGACCAATACCTTTCAGGGGCCGGCGTTCTCCATCTTGATACAAGCATTGGAGAAGCTTAAGCAATACTGGCGATCACAAAATACATAAAAAACACGCCAAACAGATAAAACTGCAAAAGGCAGTGATATACAGAAATTCCCCAAGTGTGGTGGAAGCCCTGAAAAACACTTGAAAAATACGAAAAATCTTTTCTAGTCTCACTTTGCTCACTTTTATGCACAGTGTACACGCCTAAACAGCAAGTCGTCTGCTGCGTGCTAGGACACCGTGAGATACAAGGAAACATTTTGCCGGACAAGCTGGCTGCATCCACCAACAGTGCCACTGCCAATGCATCAATACCAATCCCTGCCCTTGACTTGAAACCTTTTCTAAAACGAAAGCTCAGGGGCTATTGGCAGAGCACATGGGATAGACACACAGACAATAAACTCCATGCTATTAAGCCGCAACTTGGGAACCGGCCACCACTGTCAAACTCTCTACATACGGAAGTAACACTTTGGAGGCTAAGAATAAGACATACACACACACTCTATACACATTCACACCTTTTGTCTGCTGGCAATTCACCATTGTGTGAGAGATGTGGACACCCATTTACGGTTCCCTACATCTTCGTCCAGTGCAATGAGTTATTTGCTTTAAAAAAAAAAGCAGTTTTTACTACCCTAACAACAGCAGCTCCCATTACACCCTGTCATGCTCATTGGTAAAGACCCGCTTTTTAAACTTCAATTACTGTTTATGGTTTTAGATGATGTACATAGTTATCACTCCATATTCTGAGGCGATCCGTAGCATGACCTTTGTACAGAGTTCGCGACTGCAGTGACTACATCCTCACCATGATTTTATTATCACGGTTTTATTATTTATTTCGCCATTCACTCTCACTGCACATATTTCATGTCGCTGTCATGATTTTAATAGTTCAATGTTTTAACCTTGTTAGTGCGAGGAATTTTAAGGCCCCTATACAGCCGCGTACCATATTGTTTTGATTGTTCACATCTCTTATCTACTGAAATGGCGGCTCTTAGTCTATCAATTGGCTTTTGCACCATAAAGCACCACACATCATCATCATCACTCTGGCATTTCGCAGCCATACCATCTACATTGTTTAACGTCTGGGAACTTCGACCCTTGAAGCCGCTGCCGCTGGCTGGAGAAGCTCTGCTGAAATCCATCCAATACCTTCTGCTTGTTTTCCAGCACTGTCGAAAATGTAGACAATGAGATGCCGAATTCCTGCACAATGCTTGATTTTCTTTGGGCTGTTTTCTCCACTTTCTTAATTAGGGTAACCTTTTTTTTTAGTGTTAGTGACTTGCACTGCTTTGACGCCATGCTTGACGTACTCACGCTAAATTACTGCGCCTCACAGTCAGGGAAAACTTCATACCACTTGGTTTGAGCAGATGCTTCAGGGAAAATCATGTGCGCTGCTCAAAACGAACGAGACAAACTACGTCAAGCGAAAGCCGAAGGCCTCCCTGCTCAGCGCATATGTCGCGTGACGTGTCACAGGGTTGCTTGATAAAGTTGATATGTCGCTGGGCTGATACTTCGTGCACTTTGTTTTCGTGAAAGCATCGACGTAGTCGCAGATCCAGCTAAATTTGAAAAAAAAAATTAACAGACTTCAAGCGTTGCAGCACCGTGCAAATCTTGTGAAATGGTCCGGCAGCAGAAGTTTTGTTGCACTCCCATTCAAAATTTCTAGTTGTCCACAATCTGACCCAAAAATACTTTGAGATAAAGAAAAAATGTGCATGGTATGTATCGGAAAATGTTCAGTGTGCTGCTGAAAATTTTAACATAGCCGATTTTTTTAGATATTCAAATTTGAGTTAACGAGGTATTGCTATATTGCTATAGGATGACTTGGAACATTTCTTAGAGATAAAAATTGACTTTGATAGCAAACACACATAATGGAATAGCATGAGACTGGAAAGAAATACCGATTCATTTTACGGCTATGCGTGCTTTTCAGTGCAATTAACTTACACTGGCTAATATGATGAAATTTCACAGTGCAGGGGTGGCAGCTGCTTGTGTGTTTTTGTGGTGATGTGTATCTGGGTGTAGAGTTCTTTGCTGAACATTGTGATACACGTGTATTTTGTACTTGTCAGGATGGCGATTTCGAAAGCAGTACTTCATGGTCCGCCGCAAGGGTGACCTTAAAGACAAGCCCCGGCTGCTGATGTGGGTGAGCTCTTGTGGGAACACTGTTCGTGACGTATTGCGAGTACAACCAATTGTAGTTGGCTAAGCATTCTTTCATTTCACACACCAGTTATGGTAAGCTAGCGTGAGTAGTTTTGTCCTTCTCATGACTTACTTGCCATGGCTGTTCTTAGTGCTGATTTAGCTTGTCACAAATTTGGATGGGCTTGTATACAAACAATTGTACAGGTAACATGCATGTGGCACAGGTAATATGCAAAGTAAAAGACAAAGTGATACATACATGTTTAAAGCCTGTAGAAGGCATGCTCAGTCTATTTGGTAGCAATTCATGAAGGCCCATTGCACTGACCTGGCAGCGATGTTCTTAGTTTGTAGTCAGCCTTTGAAAAAAGAGCATTGGCGTCAAAGGCACATTTTAAATGGAATACGAGATATAACCTGTTAGTGCTGATTGAGTGCACACATAGACAGGTCTCTACTGTTTGCTTGCAGATACACACGAGTCCATACAGCATAATCTGCAAAGTCATGCTGCTATGAAGTTCAGTGCAAAGATTTCACATATGGTTGTGAATGGTTTATTATTCAGTCAATGGCACATCTTATCTTTCATGCACCTATGGTAGTGAGATGCGTTACTGCATTTTGGGTACAGCAGTGGGAAACATCGCATGCAAGTCTATACTATATGTGCTGTTTCATGACACATCTTACCAGCTAGCGGCACTTGAAGGAGTACTGACATGAATTCTAAATATCTTCAGTTTGTTGCTCTAAATAAAAAATCATGGCATATGCACACAGTGATTGATAAGGGGACGAAACAGTGGAATCGTTAAGTGTGCTTCACCCGTGACATTGACCCCTCATGCATGTAAATGAGTGCCAAGCGGTGTACAGTTAATATGCAAGGTTTATCGGTCATAACTTGTATGTTGTGTTGAGCTGTGAATTTCATTTAGCCTTTATGCTTTGTAATATGAGATTTAGCCTGGAGTTGGCAAAGATGAAATCTGGGCACGTTTCTTTGGTGGTTGTTTCCAGTCATACGAAATGCATCACAGAGCATATTGAGACGTCGTCATTATTGTCATGGCCTTGCATGCGCTGTGCTGTGATTGTTTTTAGTCATCGTCAGCGGTGGCTACGGCGCACGCCGAACAAGCCTCGACCTTGAGGAGCCTAAAAAGTGCCGTAATGCTTGTGAACGCACTGAATGTATATTTAATAGCTCTACTTTACAACATCAATTTCGATATCAATATCGAGGGACGCAGTGAAGTACCAGCACAAGTCCAACGTCACAGGACGATGGCAATGTGCAACATGTCGGTTGCATGTATTTCACATAAATAACAGCGAGTCTGGCATTAAGGCTGCATTCAGAGACACAAATTTAGCGAACCACGTGAACTGTGTTGAGTTGTCATGACGATGTCCATTGCAGTGAGGCTGGTTTGCAGATGCTGGGTGACATAAATCACAATAAAATACTTTGTCTGGCTCTGGTGCGTGGAGAGCATTGATAGTGCATGCCATGGAAATGAAATATGTATGTCCTTCTGACGGTGCCTAAAAATAATGTCGGTACTCCTTTAAGGATGGCCACACTTTGAGCACAGATGACTGGCCTTGCACTTTCTGTGGTTGTAGAACTTCTAGCAGTGACATCACTACTAGGGCTCACATCACATTATAGAGGTTCTACCAGTGGCATCGCTAGGCCCGAACAGCAATGCCAACATTCTTTTGTTGGTCGCCTCCAGGTTCCCCTGGGCCCCGACTTCTACCTCACTGTCAAGGACTTGCAAGTGGCTCTCAAGTTGCTCACTGCCATACAGGTCTGTTGCATTTCCGCTCCAGTTTCGACTGACTGGCTGCTACATAGCAATGCAGGGTATTGTCAACAATAAAATGCTTCCACTGCATTAGTCTGACCTAAAATTGAATAAGTATCTGAAGTCTGGGGCCCTTGTAAACAGTGCATGATTAGTTGTCGGTCATTGACCGCTCTGGCGGCTCGCTGTCAGCTCCTGTCGAACTTGGACAAGGCAAGTTTCGTCTGATGAAATCAGTGTGTCAGGCAGCACCATAAGTGAGTGTGACTTCATTGCTCGCACCATTCATAAATGTTGCGTCATGGTTGTTTCATCCAGCTTAGGAATGTTGCCTTGCGTGGAATGACAGTAGTGGCCGGTAAGGTACAACAGCGGGCTTGACTGTGTATGGTTATTGAAAGTGGTTTGCTTTACTTTTGGAACTCTTTTTTTTTCTTGCTGCATATGCATGCTGCTAGAAAAGAACCACGGTGTTGCTTTGTTCGTATGCCATGTGGGGATTGCTTAATCACTGGAAACATCTAGTAACTTTATAAGCGGCATCACTGCTATTTCTGTTGCATGTTTATTTATTATTATTTAAATATCTGCTCGTTTCTTCTCGAGAGAGCTGTTATATAAAATGTCACTTTTGCCTAATTCAGAGATGGACTCATTTTTGATGCATCACAGTCACCACCTCCAGTGAATGTTGACAAGGGTAGCAGTTGTCTTCTGCACGTATCTGATTTGACCATCGTCTCTTCTGGCCTTTGCGCAGCACCCGAACGTGTTGCCTTTGTGTCTTGGCTGCGTCAACGAAAGTGGGGCAGCCTTGGTGCAGGAGTTTTGCCCTCAGGGATCTCTCAGGGACGAGCTGTGTCAGGTAACCCTTCGCTACATTTCTGGGACTGAATATGGCAGCAGTGGTTGCTTAAAAGTGCTGCGAGTTGTGCACGTCACTTGTGGCTCTGAAACCAAACCACTGGAAGATTGCAAGTCTCTGTTGCTGAAGTGCACCTAATCATGACTGGATTAGATTCTCCTTTGAAAAAATGGCAGTAAGGGTAAGGGAGAATCTTGTGAAAAAAAAAAATGCAATGAAAAAATTCGAACATCCCTGTTTTACAGTATTTTTCAAGCGCTGTTGTAACACGCGGGAACTTGACTTGAGAAAACTCGAATGGCATGATAGGTCATAATTTGTCTTGCCAAGGTTTTTCTGAAAAAATAAGAAATGCGGTCGTGGGGGAAGGGGGATGTCTGTTCTCTTATTACATTTTGTGTTATTTGAACTTTTTTTGTGTGCATCTTTTAAAATGTTGCAACCTGCTTGAAGCAAGTGCATGTTATATGCATACTCTTATTCTGTTTGTTTGCATACACGATCGTGCAGGGCTGCTTAGCTGACTGCCTTTCTTTGTGTGCTCAAAGGCACTAGTTCTTTCTCGTCTTCACAGCATAGACAACATGTTTCGCGTACACGCAATCAGTAGCCTGCCTTATTAATTCCAACTCTGTTATCATGCCTAATTCGAAGGATTTTCATGGTCCTGTATTTTTAAATTTAAGTTTTAGTGGATAATTTGAAGCAACGGCCGGCACCAGTCGGGTGAATTGGGAAACTTAGGGTGCCATGTGCTAGTTCCAGATCCCAATTTCGCCGCAAATTCGTGGAAATGACGGTTCTCAGTAGGCACAAGGCAATGCAATGCAGCGATACCAATTAGTGGCAGCTAAAGCACCCCAGCCTCGCTCTTTAAGTGCAATAAAAAAAAAAAACGGTCTCGTGGTCAATCAAAACGTGCGTGCAGAAAACGAAACATGCTTCACTGCATCACAGCGGTGACGTGCGGGCAGCATATTGCATGTTTTCTGCAATGTCAGCGGGTCATGGTTTACCCATTCTTTCCGGGATTGTAAAGAAATTAATAAAGGAATGTTTGGTGGAATTTGGGATGTATGCAAACCTCCGATTGCCGGTTGCTCCAGCAATTTGCGCACTTGCATTGCTGGCAGAGTTCTTGCCAGCAACGCTTACTTTGAAAACTAAGTTTGAAAGTTTCAAAGATAATTTTTTCCAGCCGAAACACAGCGTGAGTTTCATCATACTGGCTATTATTAAATTTTTAATCATACCAGAAAGAATGTGCGAATGGCTGCATCATGGCGTGCTGACTGTTGTGCCACAGACATGTTCCTCGTTCGGGAGCACGTCTCACGAGATCAAGCCCTGTTCCGACGAACTGTCTCCCCCCCCTCCCAACGCCGCCTTCCGTGCAGAAGAACCGTGCAGTTCCGGGGATAACGTCGCTTCCTCCGCCGAACCACTTTGCAGTTCCGGGTATGGCTGCGTCTCCTCTGCCGAGCCACTGTGCCGTTCCGGGGAACTGGTCTCGCAGAAGAGTCCCAAAACGCTATTTAAGGCCGTGCCTTCCCGATGTTAAAGGATTTTGCCCCAGCCGACGTTGTCGTGCTGGCCGGCTCTGTACAAACGACAACCTGCTACAGTAAACGCTACTTTTGTTGCTGTTTTCAAAACGAATTGCCTCCCTGCTTCGCCTTCGGGCTAAAGCTTCAGCGAAGTCCGCTCGACGGCTCGCCGCTCTTCGCCACCGCTACCATCGCGACAGAGCAAATTCCTAACATGACGCAGCGAGGAGCAGGCGACATGCTGCTCGTGTGTCACTACTGTATTGCAGTGAAGATGCCTTGTTTTCCGCAGGCACACGTTTGAGTTGACCACAACAGCGTGTTTCTTTTTTTTTTCTTTTTTGGTGGCCGCAGCGAGGCCTATTGTTCCCCAGTGTTTGTGGCGAAATTGTGACCTGGTAATGCTGGAAAACATAATCTTTGGAGCCGAAAGCTAGCCCGCACAGCAAATGATAAACCCTGATTACTTTGAAAAGTTCCAAGTTCCTTGCATCCCACTTTTTGTATGTTCTGTTAATCCAAAAACCCGGCTAATTGGAAGAATTTTCATGGCCCCAGTGACTTGAAATTAACGTGGTTACATTAATTTCACATGACAGCTAAGTAAGTTCAATGGACTAGCAACCACATGGCAAAGCACTTTAGCAAAAAAGTCGAAACTTCTCGTGTATGCAATGGATTCTGGCAATGCCAGAGGCGCTGCTTTGCTGGCGTCACAACAGGTGATGTAAATCGAGAATAATGCTGCAGAAAAATAAGTATAGGTATGCGAAAAGGTTCAAGAGCCTTGCAAAAAATATTTTGAAAAGAATATCTACTGGCAAGCGATAGAAGGCGTTAAATGTCAGAGTTGTCCAAGAGCTTGAGCATGTATTTTCTAGTTTTGAAAGCCATCACCAGCTTTATAACAAATGCAAGCCTAGAAAGATTGTGCCATCCACCAAGAATTTACTTAATGTTTACAATGTTCCATCAACTGCAATAAAGGGGATTGATTGTAATGCAAACATAGCCGAGGTATGGCTCAAAATAGTGAAGGTGCATTATATGCAATGCTAGTATAGGAGACAAAATTCCAGAATTTTGGTGCAATTTTGCTTGGTTATTACATTGTGCCCGATTTCTACGCCACGACAAAAATCAGTTGGCAGAATTGATGAAAAAGTGCTACTCATATGTACAATTCTGTTCCGCTTCCTTTAATGAAATGCAAGTGCGTATCAAAGTCATGGCATGTTGTGTTCTCTTGTGAGCCCGGTGTAATATCACGTTACGCTGTGCTGTGTGTTGCATTTCAGGCCAAGCCCAGGGACAGTTACCTCAGGAAATATGGCACTGTTCGGCAACCCAAACCGATCGCTCCAGCCACAGTGGCCCATTTGGGAAGACAAGTGCTACAGGTTCTGTCGGGGCTGCACCAGCATGGGTTCCACCATGGTGAGCTCTTCAATAAGTGTTGTCTGGTTTGTACTTGCTCACCCGACCAACAAGAATTGAAATGCCTCATACAGTGAATTCAGCCAGCATGGAAGGGCACTTCAATCAGCGTATATGGTCATTTCTAACTTGTTGTCATCTGGTCTGCTTTATTTTTTAAAAATACAGTTAAACCTGGATATAACGAAATAATTCCTGGAAAAATTCGTTATAAAGAGGTTTTTGTTATATGCAGGTTCTGTACGAAAATCGGAAAATAAACACATATAAACAAAAGGGAGACTGAAGGCATAGTTAACCCCAAACACTTATTTTACAGTGAAAACTATGTTATTATTGCGATGGTAATTATATAGACACTATCGGCAGGTTTTTGTCGGCGGCGCCATGTTCTGTAACAAGTCCAAATTGATAGCATGCCCCCGTGCATTGTAACTTTCACGAAAGGGCATAAGATAATATCTCCCGCATGTTATAACTGCCATCGTATGATCAAACAAAGTAAACCACCCGTCAAACGAGCATGAAACAAAGCTGGGAGGGGAAAGAAGGGAGGGGCGATCGCTCGATTAGCAATAATGAACCTCTATTTTAAGGGCCGTCGCGATCGCTGGCACGCTTGCTATATTGGCAAGTAGCAATGCGGTTTTAATGTGAAGGGACATGAAAAGAGCACTTTTTTCTGAAGCGGCTGTATTTGCGCACACTAGCGTTTTGTAGGAATTCCGCGATATCAGATTCGAAAGAGTTGGCTGCCAGCTTTAGTTCTTATAACATTACAATTTTTGGCTATCCTGTTCACTGCATTGCATTCAATGTGCCGTCGTGTTGCCAAAACTGATCGGCTAATCGCGAAAGCTACCAGCCTGCGAACTCGCAGCGCACCGCAAAACAGAAGCACGTGACGAGTCGACCTATGAAGATTCGTCGTCACCGTGGTCTTGAAGAGTTTCCATCAACACCTAATCTGACGTCCCCTTGGTGGTGACGACACGGTTGTCCAAAATTAAGAAAAGTCACAGTTTTCCCGCAAGGGCGAAACAGTGAATGCGATATCAACAACTTGGAATGTAACGCTGAGACTCGCAAGCAGGTCGAAACGTGCAGCGCGCTGCTCACGCACAAATGACACACGAAAACAACATACCCAGGACGAAAGTGAACTAACAGTTTATCGCTTGTGGGGTGTCGACGAGGCGAGCGCCTCGCCATGCTCTTGGAGTGAACGGACACAGTAGACACGGTCGGTACAAACAAAACAACATACATTTATTTATTTAACTAATTTAGACGACGATATCGTCTGCCGAATCGATACATCAATCATTATCAACACGCGAAGTCATCATTACACAAAATTACCATACACTTAAACAACATAACACAAAAGGCGGCGTCGCCAACGCTTCACTCATCATGTGGGCCTACCGCAGGCGGCCCGTGGTGCCGTCCACGGCAGACCCACCGCAAGAGACAACCGGTCGCGGCAGCCGCCACGTGCAGAAGTTACTCGCTCAACTCTCGCCCACGACCAAGGCCTGCCTTTCGCCAGGGGTCACCGCCGGCACTACCACTCTACCAACAGTGGTACTCAACGCGAACACAACACCATCTATCATCCGGCGGTTGTCACTCCCGAAACATGGCTTCTGTGCGATACACCTGTGTAACGCAACGCAAACAACTTTACAGGGGGTGTCAGCACCCCCACACGCTTCACACTTAATGCACTGTTTAAACAAAAACAAGGCATGAAACGTAATCACGGGTACAAATATGAGTGCGAATGAACAAGTGCCCCAGTTGTTACATAGTTGTGTTTGAAAAGCGCACTCTTTTCGCAAACTGCGCCTGTCCAGCGAACAAAGTGATCTTTGTGCGCCCAGCAACTAAACGCAATCGTTCCGGTCAAAGTTGAAGTTGCGCTTCTCCCCATTGAAGGATAAGAGCGCGGGAACAAGAATATCCCCCCCCCCCCCCCTATATATATGTATGTGTATATATATGTATATGTATATACAGTCGAGCCCGCTTATAACGAACCTGAGCCTGACCGCGGCATCCGTTTGCTGTATCCCGAAGTTCACAGTAAATGAAACACATTTCTTAAAAAAGTTGCGAGTGAAAACACAAACATTTCTGCCCCAAAAAGTCCATGATGCACGTGTTTCGAAGAACAGAAGCGATAAGGGCGGTCTCGAGTTAATTTAAAACGACAGGGTGCTCGTTCCCCGAGGTCCGTGGCATAAGCTGCATAAGGCACTGGCTCCAAAGTTTTTTCGTTCTCGCAATCCGATTCCTCCAAATCGCTCTCGCCACGCACTTCATTCACAATGCCCCAATCCGTGCACGCTCCCGCAGTGTCGGCATCATCATTGGCCGTAATTAAACCATTGCAACAAATGTCCCACCCGCTGTCCAGGTTGGAGTCGGCGACGCGCTGCCACAAATCGCTGCCGGAGTGATCCTGTTCGGAAGCTTCAGGCTCAGCATCGGGCCCGACATCGACTACGAAGTCGGCGTCGCAAAGACAGTTTTGCGCGCATGTAGCCGTCGCCACCGCCCACGAAATATTCACAATCTCCACAGCTGAATACCGGGACGCCCGAAGCGGCAAGTTGGCTGCCAGGTAGTCAACAGCTATGAGCGAGCGCTCCGCAACGCGGCATCTAACGCGCGGATTACGCTCAAGTCAAGCGGTCACACTTCGAAGATTTTGTTGAGCGGCAGGAAAAAGCGAACAAGTCCTCCATTCTGCCATCCTGACAACACACGCACACCAAGAGTGAGCCAGACGCGCACATGCGACACACATGCCAGAACGCGTGAAACAGCTTTGGGCCCATTTCTAGTCAAAAAACGAAAGTAATTCGAGCCAGCGTGGCTGGCGTTGCGGAGCAGTGTAGACTGGAGAAGGGGTTGTGATCAAGAAAGAAAGCAGATTTGCGAGAGAAGGGCAAGGAGTTCCGATAGAGTGAAGAAAGGGGAGGATGAGGCGGGAGGGCGACCTTGAAAACCAAAACACACGGGAAGGAGGCACTTCGATATTTCGCAATTTGTTCTGCGCAAATTAACAGCCGTTTTCACGCTTCCGCACGCGTGCGGAGGGCATGCTGAGACGAGTGAGAAGTGAGCGAGAACAAGTCGTAAACACGAAACGAATCGCAAATATCAAAGTCGGTGGGGTAGGGTACGCGCACGCACTAGATGCAGACGATCGGATGCAGTAGGTGGCCGACGATGTTGGCAAATGGTCTGGTCACTCCAGGTCGGCGACGTCAACGATCAAAAACATCGACCACCAGCGATCAAAAACAGGGCAGATGGCCAACTGGCGCGGAGGCTGGGTCAGCGTTTAACAATAAGAATGTATGGGCACCTTGCCGCTGCCTCATCTGGTTTCCCAGGAAGTCGGCGGAGTGCCGATTCTGTTCGCTGTAAACGATCAGCGGCACTCGGAGACATTCGTAGTAAGTGCGATTTTGTGCCATCGAACCACTGTATATTTTCACGGTCACGCTGATATTGTTTGTTTTAAGCGAAAGTTCATTTTAAGTGGAGCCGTTATATGTGGGCTCGACTGTATCTATATATATACTTGACTGTACAAAAGCGGGTCCACCAGCCGATACGTCAGCTAATATACTGTGCAAATCTACCGTGCGTCGTACTCTATTTTTCTTTATTTTACCGGGGCCAGCATTATTTCCTTGCTGCAATTATATATATATATTATGACGTTTGGGTTGAGACAGCGTTTATTCAGCCCGAGGGCTCAGCAACGAACGGCAGTCTGAGACCGAGCGTGCACACACACAATGATGATTGTGGTGACACCCAGTGAAGATGAGGACAGACCCCCAGGCAGATGATGATGATTATGATAATGCATATATGAAAAGAAACGCATGACGAATGCCCACACTAATTCCCCCCACATTGAAGCGGCCAACCTGGCCGTAGAAAGTCAATCTGACAGAGAACATCGCCTGACACGTGCACGACCACTGTGATGCGGTGACGGTGGTCTGTTGGAACAAGTGGGGTCACACGATAATTAACGGGCGAAGTCTGCTCGATAACTATGTAAGGCCGAATGAAATATCGCTGAAACTTGTCACACAGACCAGGTGTGTGAATAGGAGCACCTCGTCACCAGGTCGGAAGAATACAAGGCGATGGGATGCGTCATAAATGACTTTTTGATCTTGCTGTCGCGCTTCAAGGTTGATGCGAGCACGATCGCGACACCGGGCTAGTCTTGAAATAAATTCCTCGCTGGAAGACGCAGACGAGTTGACATCACTGTTGAAAAAGAAAATGTCGTGGAAAAAGTAAAGGAACCTCCATAAACGAGGCAGAACGGCGAATATCCGGTGGAGCGCTGAACGACTGTGTTGTAGGCAAAAGTGAGGAATGGCAGTAGAAGATCCTAGTTTTTGTGGTCTGGACTGATGTAGACGGCTATCATATCAGCAAGAGTACGGTGAAACCTTTCGGTGAGACCGTTGGTTTGAGGGTGGTAGCTTGAAGCGGTCTTGTGTGTTATTCCAGAGGCGCGCAATACTTCATTTAGCACTTCTGATAGGAACACCCTTCCACGGTCACTCAACATTATACGAGGGGCGCCATGGGGCAGAATGATGGCGTGCAAAACGAAGTCGGCGTCTTCCGAAGCAGAGGCAGTTGATACAGGCGTTGTCTCCGCGTAGCGTATCAAGTGGTCTACTGCGGTCACTATCCATCGTTTGCCAGTAGATGTGACGGAAAGAGAGCCGTAAAGGTCAATACCTACAACCTCAAATGGTGTTGTGGGGCACGGAATTGGCTGCAGAGGCCCAGCCGGTGCAGTTGTCTGTATTTTACAACGCTAGCACGGGACACAGGAACCGACGTAGCGCGCGATGCTAGTAGAAATACCAGGCCAGTAGAATCGACTTCGAATGCTTTCGTAAGTTTTTCGAATACCAAGATGTCCGGCAGTCAAGTCGTCGTGGAAG